CATGAATTCTAAGTCCTGGCGCAGCAGCCGCTACCTAGTCCTGCAACCTTTGATAAATTATTCACCACTTTGGGCCACTATGCTGTTATCTACAAAGTGGGCCAGCACAGAGGGCTGGATTTTGAACCATATTATGAGCCCTGGGGTTCCGTGGGGCAGCCAGAGAGTGAAGGTGGGGGCGGGGAAGATAATAGGGAGCTTGCCTCCTTTAGTTTGCTTGGATTTTAGAAAATACAGGGCTTAATCCTTAAATAAAATTCTGAAATCCGACTAAATAATCTCTATAGCCATATCTCTGAGAAGATACTATAGAACCTCCTGTTTTGTGAGCTAGACACACAATACGTGTGGAACTTGCCTGAAATCAAATTAAGTCGTAATTTACTGTTTTAAAAACATGGAAAGATCTCTGCATTGCAGTAGACTCAAATGCTTTTAATTTGATATTTGTATTATCAAAAAGCAAATATATTAGAAATCATTTTGAAATGAACCTTTTTCATCACTGTAAAAATTCATATATCTTTTGGAAACTCTGTCCTTTTTTTTTAAGTCAACAATTTTCCAGTACTTTCTACTTTCCCAAACAGGAGTAATTTCTCCCAGTCATGGGAATCTACTGACTCAAAACTCCCACAACTAAATTTTTATGTTTATTTTATAATTACTTAGTTGTGCTAGACTAGAGATGGTAGGATAATTACCAGGAACACATGTAGCTGGACCTTTCAACTCGTGTGTGCGTGTGTACCATGTGTTCCTTGCTTGGCTGCAACTATATAGTTTGGGCAGACTGATTAATCTCTATGTCTCTCTCTCTTTCAGAATCTCTAAAATGCTTTTGAGAGTTAAAAGTTATAGTTTATATGCTAATCACTTTGTTCAGTGCCTAGCAGATAGTAAACTGCAAGTGGCTACTAACATTGAATTGCATGTTGCTTCTGTGTAGGCCCAAGAAAGTCAAACCTTAAACTCCAGTGCCAAATTTAAGGAAAAAATACACATGCATATTTTATAAATGTTATCATCATTATTGAAAGAGAATAACAGAACTATTTAGGCATATATATATATATATATATATATATATATATATAAAATCATATTCATGAAAGTGAATGATTGTTCTTTTTGTTTGACCTGGGAATATCTATAATCCAAAGAAAAGAATATCAGTATAAAGACCACTGTGGAACAGATAGTACATTTTTGGGGGAACAATAAACAGAGGGAGCAAATACAAATATCAAAAACTCACCTCTGCAGCACCCAGAGCAGACATTGCTGAATAGCATCCTTTTTATTTTTTAGATATGCTGCATTATCTTATTATTCTCAGCACCAAACTCCAGGCAGCCCCCATTCTAATGTAATGTGATAAAGATGGGCACAAACATACATAAAAACTGTCAATGAGTTTATTTCCTCCATATAAAAGTAAAGCATGAAAGCAACAAGTAGTAAACTAAAAAAATGTTCATATAACTCAAACATCTTTAGGAAAATTTTCCTAAAATGAATAGTTATTATAATGAAAGAAGAAGACTGGAAAATAAATGAGATTGATGTTGAGCTTATTTTTTAAATCTCTGATTTAAAAGAATAATTTTTTGCCAAAACAGAATAATTATGAAGTAATGAAGACTCTGTAAAATACATATTAATCAACTATAGAATTTGAATGTGCATGTAAATTTATAAGCAGTGTGAATGAACTTATTTAATATTCAAAGATACAAAGTAAATTCCTAAGTATTGCCATTTTATTTAATTTTCCTCAAATCTCCAAAACAATTTTTGTAAAATATATTCCTACTTAAATAAAATCAGAATATAATTTCATTTAAAGATGCATTTTTACAGCACATTTATCTAGTCAGTAGATGTTACACTGGAAAAGCATGAAAACAGAGAGCCAGTAAATCAAATTAATATACTCTTTCAAATGTAGGATCCCAGAATATTGGAACTAAAAACATTTTTAAACTCTAACTGATCCAGCCTTCCTCAGCCGTGTTTTTATTTTTTATCTTTGTACTAATATTTTCCCTTCAACCATTTATATTTTTATCTTATATGTAAGACATATGTATTCTATATAACAACATGTATTCCTAGAAATCACCTGAGAGTTATTTTAAAACAGGATATAACCTAATTTAACATCTTTCCCTTCTTAAACTATGCATAGAAACTTTTAATCTACAAAATAGTCACAAATAATGCATAATATTATGTTTTAATACAGGATGTATTGTATTATATGCATAAGCCCATACACAAAGAATAAGATACAATTTTCAATGAAAAAAGATTATTACATCGGAATCCATTTTGACTAACATTTGAAGAAATATCTTATGTAAGGCTGCTACAGACTTGGTAAAATAAGGTAAGTACTATAAGTTACAGCAATTACAGTTGAATGAATAATAAGATGAATATTGTAATGCACAGTGAAAAATGAATACAGCTTTCTGTGCTGGTTTTCACCAAATTGTGTTCCTTGGACCATTAGTTTTAGAGTAGGTAGTGTTTCAATGGAAAAGGTACTTTGGTCAAAAAAGCTGTAACTATTGGGTAGACATTATCCAGCTGGCACTGCTATGTATATAAGAGCTCAGGTGCTGTCGCACGCAGGCGTGCTGTGTCTCTGGGTGGAAGGTAGACAGCTCTGCCCCATTCCCACTGACCAGGGGGCTTTTCTGTGACAGAGGACGTCACAAGAATTGTGTTCCTTAGAAGATATGCTCAAAGTGTGTTTGTGGGTGTTTTTTTTAATGTTGTACATTACCTTTCCATATGTTATTAATTACATTTTATGTGTGATGTGTTCATTTAATTCCATAAGACTTCAGTGGAAATATACATATGTATATATCATGGTTGGATCATTTTCACCAAATACAGTCTGTGAAGGAAGAACTATTTGGGTGCATTTTAAATGGTGATCAGTACAAGTAAACAAGAACAGGGGTGTTAAATTATTTTCCAAGAAACAAAATGTAAAATGACATGCATTTGGGAAGCACCACACATATACGAATGTACACACACTTAAGTATAAATATACATCAGGTCCTCAAATACCTTGTTTCATTCAACATCGTTTAATTCTTGTTTATATCAATTAGCCTATGGGAAATGGGTCTTGTTATATAACGTTTCACTTAAAATTGCAAAAACCTATGAACGATGTTAAGGGAAGGGTTACTTTATTAAAGAAATATATGTAGTTAAGTACAGTTTCTAGACAGAGCCTTTTCCTGCAGAATAATTCCCATGAGTCTACACTTAGCTTAACGATAAAAATTTAATTTCAGCTTGCCGTGTGTTCCTGATAGACATTTCTTAAGGAAGAATCAGATCGTAAGTGATCTGTAGGACTCTGTACAACACTGTAGGTTAGTCCAGGGACTCCTTATTGTCTCTGTTTGCTCTACAAGGTGAGGATTTATAGGTAAGTCAATTGATTACTTGTCCTCTGAGGTCTTGATTTCACACTTCAATAAAAAGAAGAATATTTTCCAGCATTGTTTCTTATGGGAATGTCTATTTGAAAATTAACAATTACTCTTAGGAACACTGTGCACATCTAAAAATGCATAAAAGGAGCAAATTTGTGGGGAAACCATCTTAATGAGCCATCTTTCAGGAAGGAGGAAATTCAGGAGAACTGTCAGGAATCTGCCCCTAAGCCCAGTGGGTGTTATTCTCCAAATGCAAGTCATTTGTGTTTTGTTTCTTTGAAAATAATTTAACACCATTGTTCTTGTTTACTTGCGCTGATCTCTATTTAAAATGTATCCAAGTAGTTTTGCTTCCTTCACAGGCTACCCTTGGTGAAAATGATCCAGCCAGCAGGTCGTATGTGTGATGACACACACAGAGTCAGAAATCAAACACACGCCAATTAAACGGCGTATTTATAGTTAACACCTTTGCGGGCTGTCTCTCTGGTTGCATTGTGTCTGCTGTAATTCACAGTGTATCACAGACTTAACTCAAGATGCATATAATAAAACTTTAGCTGTTTTTATTTTAAGAGATTTAAAAAACAAAACAAAAAACCCTCACTTGAAGATATGTCTACTGATTTTAGAGAGAGGAGAGAGATAGAATCATTGGTTGGTTGTCTCCTGTATGTGCCCCGAACTGGAATCGAACCTGCAACCTTTTGGTGTACAGGACGAGGCACCAACAAGTGAGCCACCTGGCCAGGGTAAGAGATGATTTTTTTTAATTATTATTCTAATAGCTGTAGACTCATAGAACAGATTTAGGTGAAAAGTACTTTATTTTAGGCCATCAAATATGCTACATATGGCTATTTAAATTTAAATTTCCCAGTTGCATTAGCCATACGTAGCTGGTGACTGTTATAATGGGTTGTTTAAATACAGAATATTTACATCATCACGGTAAGTTCTAATTGACAGCCCCATCCATCCCGTTGTAACAGTCACCAGCTACGTATGGCTAATGCAACTGGGAAATTTAAATTTAAATAGCCATATGTAGCTGGTGACTGTTACAATGGGTGGTGTAAATACAGAACATTTACATCATCACGGGAAGTTCTAATGGACAGCCCCATCCATCCCGTTGTTCCTAGAGGGGATCCCAAGGCGCATGGAAATCGAATAGGTGAGCCCCTTTATTCAAATGACTTGTTCAAGTGCATAGTTGTTAAATAGCAAAATTAAAAAGAATCTGGCCATGTGTATTCTTGAATGTGGTTGTGAAATGTGTGGGGATTATCAGCATTTTAAAAATTGGATTGACATAAGTGTTGGTGATTTTTAAAAATTTTCTAAAATGCTTTGAATTATATTTTACAAAGTAAATACATCCATCTAAAGTATAGATTTTCATGAATTTTTAAAAATGTACTCACTAACACAAGCATCAACATCTCAAGACATAGAACATTTCATCACCTCGAGAGGGTCCCTTGTGCCCTTTCCAGTCAAATCCACACCAAGGTCCAGCCTCGGGCAACCACTGATCCTTGTGTCAGGATAGATTAGCTTCCTGTTTTCTAGAGTTAAAAAGTGTCTTACATTTATATTTTATGTACTCTTTCCTGTTTGGTTTACATCCTATACATTCACTAAACTCGCTTGTGTTTTTTTAGTAGTTCTTTATATATTTATGTAGATTATTAATTTCTACATAGACAGTCATGCTATTTGTAATTAAAGACTGTTTCACAACTTCATTTCTAACAGCATAATGCCTTTTATTTCTTTATTTAGTCACTCCAGGACAACACTTAATAGAAATTATAAGCGTGAACACCTTGTGTTGTTCCTGACATTAGAGGGAAACATCCAATCTTTCATCCTGAAGCAAGAGGTTACCCGTAGGTTCTCTGTTATCTAATCTATCACAGGGATTAGACCATATGCCAATGTGGGAGCTGGTTTGCATTCTCTTTAAGGCTGTTGTCTTTGTATCTGATGTTGGAATTTTAAGTCAACAAGACAGGCAGTTAAACAGGAATGATAAATGTAAAATGGGGTGATCACAGACAAGGCGGAACCCACAAACATAGCTTGGACCTTGGAGGATGGCGTGGAGCCTGTGTAAGTGTGCACTGTCCTCCACCTTGATGATGTAGGTGTCTTGCAGGGAAAGCTGGTGCCCTTGTCAGAGCTAAACAGGCACCTGCTCAAAGGTCAAAGAAACTGGAAGAGGAGCAGTGCAGGGCTGGGCAGGCCCATGAATACACAGCTGCAAGTTTCCTGAAGCACTGCTTTCCTGTGTCCTACAAATTTTGGTGAGTTGTGTTTTCATTTAGTTCAAAATATTTTTAAATTTCTCTTGTGATTTCTTCTTTGGCCTATGTGTTGTTGAGAAGTGTCTTTTTAAATCTCCAGGTATTTGGGGGTTTTCAGCTATCTTTCTAGTATTGATTTCTAGTTTAATTCCATCATGGTCAGAGAGCCCACATTGTATGGTTTCTTCCAAATTTGTTAAGGTGTGTGATGGCCCATAATGTGGTCTATCTTGGTGAATGTTCCCTGTGAGCATTAGAAGCATGTGTAATCGCTCTTGTTGGATGAAGTAGCCTGTAGACTACATAATATCCATTTGATCGATGGTGTGTGGAGTTCAGCTATGTCCTTACTAATTTTCTGCCTGCTGGATCTGTTCATTGCTGATACACTGTGTTGAAGTCTCCACCTCTAACAGCAGATTAATCTATTTCTCCGTGCACTTCAATCAGGTTTTACCTCATGTAGTCTGACGCTCTATTGTGGGCACATACATATTAAGGATCATTATGTCTTCCTGGAGAATTAACTCCTTTATCATCATATAATGCCACTTTTCAGACCTGATAACTTCCCTTGCTTTGAACTCTGCTATGTCTGAAATTAATATAGGTACTCCATCTTTCTCCATCCACGCATTTTTCCATCCACTTATTTTAAACCTATATTTACATTTTAAACCTATATTTAAAGTATTTTTATTATAAAATACATATAGTTAAGCCTTGTCTTTTTGGTCCACCTTAACTAACAATCTCTGTCTTTGAATTAATGTATTTAGACCCTTAACATTTAAAGTGATAATTGATATAGTTGGATAACATCTACCATATTTGTTACTGTTTACTATTTGTTGTCTTGTTCTCTCTTCCTATTTTTGACTTCTGTTCTTGTGATTTTAACTGAGCATTTTATATGATTCCATTTTCTCAGCTATACTTTTTTTTAGAGGTTGCCCTAGAGTTTCCAATATACAAATATCCAATTCCACTTTCAAATACTATACCACTTCACAAGTAGTGTGAGTACCTCATGATAAAATAATCCTAACTCTTTCTCCCCATCCTTTGTATATATTTCATTTCTATATAAGATTACATAAACATATATAAACACGTATAATCAAATACATTGTTGCTGTTATTGTTAGATCAATTCAGAATAAGAAAGCTAACCATTTTTACTTTGCCTTTACTTCTTCTCCACTGCTCTTCCTTTCTCCGTACAGATCTGAATTTCTGAGGTAAATAAATCATTTTTATTTCTCTCTGAAGAACTTCTTTTAACATTTCTTGCAAAGCAGGTCTACTGGTAAAAAAAAAAATGCTCTATTTTTGCTTGTCTGAGAAAGTATTTCTCCTTCACTTCTGGGTACAGAAGACTAGGCTGGTGAGTTTTTTCTCTCAACACTAAATATTTCACTCCCCTCTCCTCCTATTTGCATGGTTTCTGAGGAGAAGCTGGACATAATTCTTACCTCTGGTCCTCTCTAGATAAGGTGCTTTTATCCTCTGCATTTTATCAAGAATTTTCTGTCTTTGATTTTCTGAAAATTGAATATAATGTGCCTTGGAGTAGGTTTTTTGCTTTCTTTTTAACATTTATTCTTTGAGTTCCCTACACTTCCTGGATCTGTGGTTTAGTGCCCTTAGCATATTAATTATAGTTGTTTTACATCCTGGTCTGATAATTCCAACATCCCTGGCGTATCTGCGTCTGGTTCGGATGCGCTCTGCTAACAGTTTTACCTCTGAGTATTCCCTGAAGCTTTTCTCCGTGTCTGGGCATGATGTGCTGGGAAAGGAAAGCCAGCACTGGTTCCAGCATAGGTTCCTGCTCTTGTCAGGTCTGAGTCTCTTAATTTACCTGTCTGTGTCTGCAGGTTTGGTGTAGTAGTTTGCCCTGTGACCTCACATCTCTGACAGATCTAAGATGAGTTATTGACTTTTTGATTTATTGTTAAGATGTAGTAATGACTTCTAAGCTTCTTACATGAAGGACTGGAAATTGGAACTATTACAGGCATTAAAAATAATTCAGAACCCATAAATATAGAACAGAAGTACAGAGCCCATACTGTAACAGGGAGATATGTTTTTAAAATATTTGAAATTATAAAGAAAAAGCAAACCTTTTTTTCTACAAAATACCATTTTATATTAATTTTGGAGAGTAATTTACTTCTACATTTTTTTCAACTCTCCCATCTAAGAAAAACTACAGGGTTTTTTCCCTTCATAAAATATAGGCCCATTGTGATGTTGACCCCCACAAGGGCATAGAGTTTTGTGAAGGTGAATATTGCTGTTGGTCTGACGAAATGGATACAGGGAGCCTTTTAAAAATAAATGTTCCTTTCCACCATGACCAGAAGTAAGAAGGACAAAAAGCTCACAATGGCCTTAATCATAATCTGACTTGTTTGGGGTAAATATTGAATTTGTTGATACCTACAAAAATATTTCTTGACTTGTTAACCTTTTCAATTGAAAAATGATTTCACTTAGAAATTAAAATACTGAAATTCAAATAATATTTAAGGGTATACAATGAAATATGTGACCTCTATTTCCATGACAGTATATTAGAATACCTTTTTTCTTAGGCCTGAAAAGAGAATATAAAGCACAGTTCTCACAGTTGTATTAAACTCCGTGAGGAAACCGTCAGGAATAGAAGGGAGCTCACTTACAGCACAGTTGAGAAACAAGGAGATCGGTTGGTCAAGAAAGAAATGTCTAAATAAGATTGCTAAATTATGTATAAGACTGGCTGTCTAAAGGCCAATAAATTAAATTATCGATATTTCCTGGTTAACCTCTAACTGTATTGAGCTCTAAACTACCTGCACATTTATCACTTGTGGGTTGTTAGTCAAATAGACTGCGACCACAGAGTTACACCTCCGAGAGCCTCGGATGAGAGAATACTTTCTAAAATGCTCCGACACAGTATCACCAGCAGCCATCACTGCGCCCCTTTCTAGATGCAGCTCCATAGGTCACCTTGTTTTCTACACCAAGGAGGCCTTTTGGGTTCAAGAGGGATGAAGTGATAACTCCCATCCCCGGCCCATCCTCACAGGAGGCTTATTTACAATATACAACCCAGACACGCCAGGCAGCGCATACTAAAAGGGTTTCTTCGGTAAGAAATCAGGATACAGCAGCCCCAGAAGACCCTCATTTATCTTCCAGCTAGTAAATTCCATCAGCGTGCCTGCAGGAGGACAAGACAGCCTGAATTGTGCCCGAGGAGGACGGAGCAGGGGTGCAGACCCACACCTCACCCTTTCTTACCCACGTGTATAACCAACAGTGCTTCTGTAAGTTGTCTAGCATTAGTTTTGGGTGGTGGTAAATGCTTTTTTAAAGTGAAAAATCATGACTTCCATACAAATATACAAATAATGCATCCCATAGATTTTATATAATACATTAAATAGCAAGCCAGCACAATGTCCCATTGGTTCCAGATAGGCCATCAGGAATGCTGGAATGAATTTACAAGCAAATGCTAAACTGGTCAACATTTACAGGACAATAAACAGTTGCATTCACTAGCATTTCTATGGAAAAATAATTTTCAGTATTATGTTTCCTGCCACCCTAAAATAGCTCAGAAACAATGCACTGGAAAACCCAGTCATGTTTTGTGTGTGTGTGTGGGGGGGGGGGGGGTAATGCATTTCAGAATGTTTCATCATTTCTCCAGCCAGTGGACACTTTTATCAGGTACAGGTATTTTAGTGGCTATTGGCAGATATTTGTTTCTCAAGTAATTGTGCCAGTTTACACTCTCTCCGCCCATCAGCTACATGGGATTCTTCATATGCTCTTGAAAATTAGGAGGTTCTGACTCTCAGTTCAGACTTCCAGAGGGTGAAGCTTGATTTGGAGCAATCTCCTTTGTAGTTCTCACGCATCCTAACTTCTCAGAGCGACAATTTGTGGTATAACAAAGAGTAAATCTGTTCTTTGTCTCTGGTTCCAGGTACAGAACTTCAAAACCCTTAGAGCTTCCTGAGAGACAGGAGTGTCTTCATCACGCTAATGAGGTAGGTCCTGGTAGGCCCCTAGGTGGCTCCAGGGTGGGGACTGGTCCCGCAAAAGACCAACCACGTGATAGAGGGGTGGAACTTTGGGCCAGCCTGACCTCTGGGAAGAGAGGGCACCTGCAGATTGCGTTCAATCACATGTCCAGCGATTTAATAAAAACTCTGGGCATGGACTCTGTGGACTTTTCTGGTGTGTAAAGACATTGACCCACTTGAGGCTGGTGTTGGACGCTGCCTTGTACTGAGTACATGTAACTTACGTGTTAAACAAGTGAAATGCGCTGATCTAACCTGAGCCTTACATCTAGCTCCTGAGTAAATCATTTGAGAAGTATCAGTTCTATGAGATGGGCCAGGTCTAGTGGGGGGTGGGGAGCTTGACGCCTCTGCCCATTTGGACAAATTCTAGGAGGTTGTGACTTAATGACGGGCACATTGTTGTGCATAGGAAGACTATGTATCATCATAGGAAAGGACGTTCTTTAGAAGGCTGATTTTCAGTTCAAAGCAAGACAAATAGACCATCTACCTTGTGGTCCAGATGGGGTGCACGGGCCACACTAATAGGATTAAGAGGGGGAAAGTGAGGAGGAGCGTGCACTGTGATTTGTGTTTCATTATCTCCAATATGAGGAGGGATCTAGTCTATAATTCACAACTATTTAATTGTGAGGCTTAAATTCAACAGAGAAAACATTTATCTCTAGAGAATTAGATTATCCCAAGAGAAAAACAAAACCTTAAAAGAACTGCTATTAGGCATTCACAAACAACACAGTGTCTTTCAACATCAGAAAAATACTTTAGCCCTCATTTTCCAGAATTCTATAGTTTCAAATCGAGATTAAGACTATGTTGAACTTTGGATACCTGGCTAAGATATTTTGGTTTTAATCTTTGCTCACACTGGGGAGTTGAGAAGTTTGGATCAGAGGAGTGAGGAGAAGAAAGTCGTGCCACAGAAATGGATCTACAATAAGCAGGTGAATCGAGGAAGGTCAGTACAAACAGAGACAACTGACATTCACTCCATATGGCTGCCAGACTTTCTCTGGGTTCACCAATTTACTCAAAACTGTGTGTTTTAACTTCCAGAGTCGCATTTATTATTTATTTCTTCCGTGCAGCGTATGCTTTTAATAAGAAACTTCATGTTCATTTTCAGGCAGGTACCCAATTTCTGAATGACTAAACAGACCTAGACATATCATGAAAACCCTTATTGTTTGAGAATTCTGGCCAATTATTAGCAACTTCAATATCAATTTTAGGAAAGAGTAGCCTCTTCATATTGCCAAAGCGAGTTGGGAAGGCCCTGGCAAGGAAGACTAGATTCTAAGCTGCTGTGGTAGGGGAGAGAGTCACACTCAATCTGAGCCCAACTTCACCGAGACAAAGGGCAGGAGTGCGAGGGAGAGCACAGCCCATCTACTTCTGGTAACTGAATTTACCCAAAGGAAAAGTCAGTCTTGTGATTTTTGTGACAGAAGGTAGCTTTGCAACCAAGAGCAAAAGCACATGTCAAAATTAGGCTCATACATTGTCACAGGGACTGGGGAGGGGAGGGGCGCTATCTTCCTTGATGTCAACATTCCAAGCGATGGGATGTAACGCTGGCGAGAGGCTTTTTAAAAGATGTGTATCTCAAAGGAGCAGAAAAGGAATGTCTAGTTACAAGTTTTCTAACATAAATGTTTTAGATAAGGGAGGTTAGAAGAATCCTGTATAAAATTTGTCAAGATGAGGGGAATATTAAAGCCATCTTAGGAAATATATTTAACCCTTTGCGGTCGTTTGTCTACTCTCAGCCACCAAAGCTTTTTTACCGTCCCGGTCGTATGTCTGCTCTCAGACACCACAGCAAGGAACCGTACGAATCTTAACTCTATTCATTCCTGTATCAGATCATAATTTCTCTGAAAGCTCTTAAGTGTCTAAGCGACCTTGTCATGAACCAAAACATTGCCCCGACAAATCGGAGATATCGAAACTCAGTATAAACAAAGCGGTCGTTCCACACTCGCCATGCAAAACACCGTGGCGAGTCAGTCGCCTTTTGAGAGTGAAGAAATCGACAAGCTTCGGAGATACTTCGCAGAATTTCAAATACAGCTTTACAAATTACATTTAACTGTAATTAGGCATTCTCGCTTGTTAAGATATTTCAAAATAATACTCCAAAATGGCAAAAAGAAAGTTACCGAAAGAAGTGTACTGCGAATCTGAAAGTAACGATGAAGAGTTTTATTTTGGCACCTTGAATACTGACTCTGACGTAGAAAGTGATAACGTTTGTAGTGATTCTACTAGTAGTGACGTAGTTCCAAAAAAGAATTAATAAATCTTGTTTATCCTTCATAATCTTGCATGTTATGTATCACTGCTCTTTCAATGGAAATTAATTCCGACCAGTACGACACCCATGTCCAAATTTAATACGACTGCAAAGGGTTAAGCTTCTTAAAATGTACTGAAGCAATTATATAGAGGGGCAGTAGATTTGTCAGAGTTGTAAAGAAAAATAGAACCAGTAGGATGTGTGTTCCATGATTTATATAAAGTGTGTCCCCCCCAAATGTATACACGCTTTAACAGCTGATAGCTCAGTTTTGAAAATGAAATGTATTTTAATAAACGCTGCCTTTATTCAAAGTGTGTATATACATTTTTGGGACACCCTATAGATATGCATGTGTGTAAATATGTACACATATGTTAAAAATATACATAGACACGTGTTTATCTACATGTGTGGAGGGAGGAAGGATTGATGGAAAGGATGGTGGAGGAAAAGGTGTTGGTTGCTTCTGCAGTCTGAAGGCAGAAGGACCTCTTCTCTGGGGTCTACATTGCAGAGTGGGTAATGGAGGATAGTCTGTTTTCCTCACACTCCACTGATTTAAATGTTAATCTGATCTTAAAAATACCTTTATGTGGCAGCATCTAAACCAATGTTTAAGTACCTGTGTACCATGACCTGGCCAAGTTGACACATAAAATGACCCCTCGCAGGCAGTGGGGCTGGTACACAGAAACGCCCTCTGAAGCTCGGATGACAACTTTCTGAAGGGTATCTCTGAGAAACGTCCTGTACCACTTATACCGAATAAATCGGTTACCTAATGGCCAAAAAAATGAGCTAACTTGACATAGACTCAGTTCTTGTGAAATGTTATAGTTTCAGAGAAGCAGAGACAATCACAATTTCTCTTTTCTGGATAATGAAGCTTTGAAATAAATGAGTATCAGGAAAGTGCCCTGAGGCAAAGAAGATGCCGCTGCGTAAGAAAAGGATCCAATTTGGGAAGCAGGAGCTGTGCTCCCCATGGTCCTCCAGGTGAGAAGCTCTGACCTTCTGATGATAAGAGCATTATTTCTGTAACTGCAGGGGACCCAGTGACAATCTGAGCGCAGAGGGCTCTGCAATTTACATTTTCACTGTGAAATGGCAAAAAAGTGGGATGTGGAAATATAGCTTTCCTTAGAGTTAGTCTACACACCTACCACCCATGATAAGCATTAGATGTCGTTCGCCTTAGAAATGATAACTTGCGATATTGTGTAGAGCTCAGTACTCTGGGAGAGTAGGAGATAGGAGAATAAAATAGAAGGGTGCATTCAAGCACTAAATAGAGATGTTAAGAAAAGCTTGCAGCAGATGAAGTTATTATTCACTGGGTGTGTTGCTTGCTATCTCTCAGATCATTGGATACACCTTAAAATGCAAATTGCTTCTTTCTAGATATTGGCAATTTTTCTCTATCCAGGGGACTGAAGATAATTTTGGCTCTCTACCCAGGGCCCTGTTTTTCAACTTCCAAAGTCCTGTAAAGGTAAAATTATTTTAATCTGTCCCCATAGGTTCCTCCTCCTCTTGGAGTCTTCACTATCCCATATTGTTCAGCTCTAAAGAGTTACTAATGAAAGACAATTCTTAACACTAAGAAAATTAAAGCAACCTACAGATTTGTGGGAACATATTTGCTAGCTATGTAATCACTTCTCAAAGCGCAACAATCTGCATAACATGGAATTATTACTCTGGTTTTCAGAGTCCATGCCCTACCTTCCTTTTTCCAACTCCACCTCCTTTTTTAAATTCATATTTAATACTGAAGAGTTGCAGAATATGCCACCTGCAAATATGTCACTTTGGCATAAGGATCATTTTTGAGCTGAAGGCAATTGAAAAGAAGCCCATACAAGGACAGCTCTCTGCCTTCCACCTAGTTGCCTAAAAGCAGGACATAAATTTATAAAGGTGTCCTCTCTTTTCTCTACCAGGAAGGACACAAGTTAATCGCCTGAGAAACTCTAAATCCTGACCCAAATGAGCCCAGAGATAGCACCAGAGGAATCTACAGAACCAACATTACTAATCAGCCCTTATCTCCTATATGTTTACCATCCCACAATTTGCTCCCAAGAAACCCAAAATCCTTTTACTTAGTCACTTTTCTAAAAAGTTATTGATCTTTTGTTAAGATGCCATCCAAGCCATGTTCGAACCACTGCATTGCGTCACTTATCACAGAGTCTTCCCTGTGCCAGAGAGATGCACATGTTAATAAAAGTCTGGTTTTTCGGTTTGCTCTGTCTTTTGTAGGGCCCCAGCCAGAGAACCTAGGCAGGGAGAGAAAAATGTTTTCCTCCTCTACAAATTAAAGTTCGCTTTCATAAACATTTTTTTTTTTTTTTTTTTTTTTTGTGAGGGATTCTGAATTTATTCCATCATCCGCACACCAGGTGGCTGAGCCTGGGTGGCTCTAGCACCCAGTGACCAGTGAGGGGAGTCAGCGGCTTTTAAAGGACTTTTGGCGGGCTTTTTTCTGGGTTGAGACTTCTTTATACCCTGAGGGGGGAGAAGGGAATGTGGTCACCCACCCACTTAGAATGCTAAATATTTGGTTCTGTTCATTTAAAAATGCCTACTTTACTGAATTCTAAAACCTTATCAATGGTATAATAACATTCCAAAAAAAATAAATTGTAGGATCAAACCTGATTTTAGGGTTTTAAAACCAACAGTAATATACTTTGCAAATATATATATATATATATATATATATATATATACTTTGCATATATATGTACATATATATGCATATGATTTGAAAAGGATGGAAGTTAATGGGGAGAGTAAAATTCAAAGTTGCCAATACTTCATGACTTCTTGAACTGAGTAGGAGGTACCTAGGTTTTTTTAATTACTCTTATACGTTACAAATATGGTAACTACATTTATATGTCCATATAATATATTTTGTAAATGAATATATGTATATATTATATAGACATCAATTTGCAATGGCTGAATTACATAGAGCATGGGCTACTCTATCTTCAGATTATTTTCTTCAGTCATTGTTGATATAACTCATGGATTTGATTGCTTTTGAAATACACTTTCTCTAACTTAATTTGGGAATAAACACTTTGATCTTGTAGAAGTAATTTTACATAATATTGGCAATCTACATAGAAGCCTTTCTTTAAATTATAATTGTGTAAAAGGAAAAATGTTTCCTAATAGCAGCACTTGCCTAGGAGATATGAAAATGAAAACTGGCCGAAACCGGTTTGGCTCAGTGGATAGAGCGTCAGCCTGCGGACTGAAGGGTCCCAGGTTTGATTCCAGTCAAGGGCATGTACCAGGGTTGCGGGCACATCCCCAGAGGGAGATGTGCAGGAGGCAGCTGATCGATGTTTCTCTCTCATCGATGTTTCTAACTATCTCTCTCCCTTCCTCTCTATAAAAAAATCAATAAAATATATTTTTAAAAAAAGAAAATGAAAACTGTTTCACTGAAATTATTCTAACCAGCCAGCACTCCTAAAGAATTGTAAGCTTTGAGCGACTCAACATAGGCCAGCAAGACTGGCATTGGACCTGATTATGGACTCTTTCCTGACCAAGAAGCGATATGATTTAACTAATAATGAACACACCCGCGGATGGGCCCCCCTTAGCCAGAGGAATAGGCTACAGTCCTTAATCAGCATGTGCACCATGACTTTCCCTTCATCTAACTGCTCAGTGAGATTCTCCTCTGGTTTGTTCTTGATGATGGCGAATAAACTGCAGCTTTGATAATTGCTTTGTTCTTGCACTGGCTCAGGTTAGGTTTGTAACACTTTTGAAACCGACACTCAGGCTGTTGGTTTAACTTACAGTTTATTTAGATCTGAAAATATAGTTCTGAGAATGAAACTGAAGTTATCTTTACTCAATATTTTTATCCAGTATCAACTCTACTGATTATGAAATTATCACTGTGGGTTTTTTTTTTCATAATTTCTTAGGACCATTATTCTATCTCAGATTTTTTTGTCAATAAAAATTCTAAAATGGAATTTCTTCCCTTCTTTTATGTCTATTACTGTAACACCAGTGGTCTGCAGATGAGGTTTATTTTGTTTTGTTTGCTCTTGCAATTCGAGCTTTTTGAAGCATTCCTTGCCAAAACCTTTGTTTCATCCTCCACTGCCTAATAGTACAAATCATGAATGTATCCAACTGAGCGCAATTATAGCAAACAGTGCTTCTCCATCTACCTGCCTCCCCAGGAAAGGAAATAAATTGGAACGGACTTCCTGTGGCTCCGTGGGACTCTGGGAGAATGCGGTAAGGCAAGGATTTAAGTTATATTTTCTTAACAAACTGGTAATCCATCCCCAATCTGAATTGGTTGAACACTACAACCACCATTATTTCCGTTTCATTTAATGCCCATAAAAATCGAATTCGCTTGAATCCAGTGATTGTAATCACAGAACATTTACAGTGTTATTTGATCTGTTGACTTTTTGTTTCACATTTTTTTAAAGAATGAACACCGGACTAAAGTAAAAAAGATGCTAAGACTTCAATCACAAGTTATTTTCAAATTTCTTTCCACTCCAAGCTCACATACTAAATTTATACAACTATCCTCAATTCTGCTGTATATGGTTATATTAACAAGAATTTTTTGCCACTGCCATATATTTTGTAATGACATTGAATGGATTCATAATATTACAGCAAGTCAACTAAGCAGAATTGCCTTAACCATTCGTTCATTCTGTATAGTGAACATTTAAGCTGTTCCTACTTTAATTGTATTCATATATATACAATTTCCTAAGATACGGATTTTCTCTCATACAATCACACAGTGTATTTCTATCAAAATCAGGAGACTTAATACTGACACAATACTATTATGTATATCACAGTTCATATTCAAATTTTATCAACTGTCCTAATATCATCCTTCATAATTTTTTGGTCCAAGTCAAATCCAGAATCATATCTAATTGTTCTGCACCTTTAATATGAACAGTTTTTAGCCTTCCTTTTGCCTTTCATTACCTTGGATTCTTGAAGAAAACAGCCAATTATTTTGTAGAAGATTCTCCAACTTATATTCGCCTGTTGTTTCCTTATGACTGTCCCCAAGGGATGCATTTTGAGCAGGAGCACCACAGGATTATTATAGGAGACCCAAGAGGCCAGCCTGCCCCTTGGTGGAGATGCCAAGCTGATCACCTCATTAGGTGATGTCGACCAGGCTTCTTCCCTGTAGAGTTACTATTTTTTCTTTGGTGATTAATAAGTAATTTAAAGGAGATACTTTGAGATTATGTAAATATTCTGTTCATTAAAATTGTATCCACTATATTTAGCATCTATTAATGATACTTGCCTGAACCACTGATTACTGTGATGGTTACAGAAAAATGACGAAGTGGTTTTATAATAAAACATTATTTCTGTATTTATCAGTCTGCTGTCCACAGAGCTTGCTCTCCTCCCTGACTCCATTCATTTATTCATATTGGTAGGGTCTCATTTGTTTATTTAATTCTGCAAATTTTCTGTTCCTATCATCATCCTGATGCTCAGATTGTTCCAGATTTCCTCAGAGAGAGCCCCCTTCAAACGGGCTCTTGACATGTCCCCACAATATTTTAAACACTGATTTAGTTTTTGGCACAACAGTTTTATCTCATGCTTTTCCTTTTCTAGCCCTGAAGTTAACCATTTCTACAAGAACCCCTGGTTCCTAGTGGGACATGGCCTATAGCCACTGAGGTCCCTGTGCTTGTAAGAACATGGCTGAGAACTTGAACAGTGAAAACCTGTGGCACCTGAGCCAGGACTCACTTCCTCCTGCTTCCCCCAGTGAACGAAGCAGCTGAAAACACGGGGCTCCCTCCCCGCAGTTCGCAGGCTGGGATTACCGCTGTCACAGAGGGGTGGGCACCGCATTCCTACCTCCCTTCAGCTCTGGGTTAGAACACCTCTTCCTAGAAGGTGGGCTGCGAGGACCAGGCTCCCTCCCTCCCTCGCACAGGATGGAAGGAAGCACAGAGCAGGCCTACAAAGCTTGGCCCTGATTGTCTGTCCAGATTGCTCTTAAGGTGGAAGTTTCATGTTGAGAAGAGGCCAAATCGAATAGGTCTTATTAGCCTCTCAGCACTTACTTTTAGTTCAAGGTGCCACACGGGAGAAAGGAACGCTGTCCTGGCCCTCAGCTCCTGTGGGCATCACAGGTTCTGCCAGGAGGGAAAGGCGGTTCTACAGACCATGCACCTGGCCGTCCTGCCCGAGGAGCTGACCTCATTTGGAAAAGAGCTAGGAGCGGTTCATCACTAAAGAGAAGAAACCACGGAGGCCTTGGAGGAGAGCGCCTAAGAGGGAGCACAGCTCTGCCATCATGGTAGCAAAGAGCAGCACAATCCAAGAAGACAGGGCCCATGGGAGACAGGCCGGCTTCACGGTCAGTTCTGGGGTCCAGGAGGCTGTGGCAAGTGCTGGCCTGCACCCTGGCAGGAGAAATCAGAACGCAATGTGGCACAGATGTAAAAACGGTCCTCCAGTCACACGCGGATCCAGCCACCAAGGACGCAAGCCTCGCCTTCGTGAGGGGATTAAGCACAAACACTGGCTGAACAATGAGCAACCAACTCTGAGCAGAGGCAACCCTTAGGAAGCGGGGCTTAAAAATAAAGTCACAAGCTTCTCCAAGCGTTTTGAATACTGTGTGTGCCGCCCAAGACTGTGCCCTTCCAGGAGTAATCGGGCTGGGAGTTCCAGGCTGCGAGTGCCTGCCTGAACCTGGACCTTGAACTGCAGTAGTACCGCAAAGCCACGCACACGCACACAGGATGGTCAAGGCTAACATCCGATGGCAAAATGTGCCTCATGCTGACCCAGGGGTAATGTCCAGGCAGCATCTGGCACAACCCACCACCTTTCACACTAAAGTATAATAATAATAAAAATCTGAGCATAGTCATTAGATATTCTAGGTAATTTTTCTGTTATAAATGTGTTAACACAAAAAGGAAGATATGATGATGGGTCATTAAATTGCAAATAACAAGAAGAGACACCCTACCAAAAAGAAAGAAATGGAAACTCTGTAGTTGCGAAGTGTAACAACACAAAAACTCACTGGAGAGAGGACGATGCCAAGAAGACTTGGACAGGAAGGAAATATGTTTGGTAAAGGCCTGCTGTCCAAAATATACAAAGATTTCTTAAAACAACAATGAGAAACAATATGATTAAAAAATTAGACATCTCACCGAAGAAGACATACAAATGGGAATCGGCACAT